CACAGCAACTTCTTCCTAGAAACACCACCAAAGGCAAGGGAAGCAAGGGCAACAATGAACTATTAGGACTTCCTCAAGGTAAAATGCTTTTGCACAGCTAAGGAAACAGTCAACAAAACCAAAAGACAACCGACAGAATGGGAGAAGATATTTGCAAATGACATAACAGATAAAGAGTTAGTATCTAAAACCTATAAAGAACTTATAAAACTCAATTCCCAAAGAACAATCCAATCAAGAAATGGGCAGAAGACATGAACAGACATTTCTGCAAAGAAGACATCAAAATGGCCAACAGACACATGAAAAAGTGCTCCACATCACTCGGCATCAGGGAAATACCAATTAAAACCCCAGTGAGATACCACCTCACACCAGTCAGAATGGTTAAAATTAACTGGTCAGGAACCGACAGGTGTTGGCGAGGATGCGGAGAAAGGGGAACCCTCCTACACTGTTGGTGGGAATGCAAGCTGGTGCAGCCACTCTGGAAAACAGCATGGAGGTTCCTCAAAAAGTTTAAAATAGAGCTACCCTATGACCCAGCAATTGCAGTACAGGGTATTTACCCTAAAGATATAAATGTAGTGATCCTAAGGGGCACGGCACCGGAATGTTTATAGCAGCAATGTCCACAATAGCCAAACTATGGAAAGAACCTAGATGTCCATCAACAGATGAATGGATAAAGATGTGGTGTGTATATATACAATGGAATACTATGTAGACATCACAAAAACCAAAATCTTGACATTTGCAACAATGTGGATAGAACTAAAGTTAGCATAATACTAAAACTAGTATTATGCTAAGCGGAATAAGTCAATCAGAAAAAGACAATTATCATACGATCTCACTGATATAATTTGAGAAGCAGGGTGGGGGGCTGTGGGGGGCAGGGAGGGAAAAAAATGAAACAAGATGGGACCAGGGAGGAAGACAAACCATGAGAGACTCTTAATCTCAGGAAACAAACTGAGGGTTGCTGGAGGGTTGGAAGGGAGGGAGAGGGTGGTTGGGTGATGGACACTGGCAGGGTATGTGCTATGGTGAGTGCTGTGAAGTGTGTAAGCTTGATGATTCACAGACCTGTACCCCTGAAGTAAATACTACATTATGTGTTAATAAAAGAAATAAAAATAAAACCACAAACCAAGCCATTTCACCTTCCTGCTGAAAGCCCACCAATGACCCCAAACCACAGGCTCCTTAGCAGCACCCAGGAGGAGGCCCTTTTGAGCAACTACCAGCTCATCCCACTCTGGGCTCAAGTTCAGAGCAGCTCATGGCTCCCCCCCGCCCCTGGCCAGGCTGGCTCCCCTTCTGCGTTCACGTTGTGCATATACCACACCCCACCCCACTCCCTTCACCTGATCACCTTCTTCAGGTTCCCTCGCCCATGACCTAGAGCCAGGAGGGAAATAAGCAGCCTTGTTTGTCGTACAGTAAGCCCACAACCAGCCTTTAATGGATGTTTAATGATCAATAAATGAAGAAACAAGGAATGCATGGTACAATTTGCAACGAGGTAGAACCAGGACCACGGCGGGTGGGGGAGGGGGTGGGGGGAGAGACAAGAAGAGGTTGCAGACCAGGATGATGGTTCGCAACTTTGGCAGCTTCCCAGGTAAAATCTGAACACCTCCCTCCCCCATCCCCCCATACAGGGAGGGCAAGGAGAGACCGAAGGAGGAGGCAGGCCACTCCAGAGGGTAGGCAGCAAGCTGAATAAAGCAAGGGAACTTACAGACAGGGCTTGTCTTGGGCAAGATCTCCACACCAGCTAGCTAGAATCTTAAGTTTATACCGAGGCGATAAGCAACAATACTTCACTCTCTCAAGACTGTATCCTTGAAACAGCTCCCTCTGTGTGTGTGGGGGGGGGGCTACAAAACAGACATTCCAAGAACAGGGGAAGGGGTAAGGAGCCTCCAGTTGTCCGGGTCCCTCTTAAGGGTCAACCAGCAGTCACGTGCTCTCGATGATTTCCCCCAACATAGGACCAGAGCTGGTGTGTGGATTTGGGTGTGACCGCCAGCCTAGTGGGAAGGGGCTGGAAGATAATGTCCTGCAGTCATCCTTGCTGATTGTCATGAAAAGAGTAACTTTTCAGGATATACTCTTGTTGTCATATGACCTCAGTTCTCTTTAACCATTCTGAAGCCTTAAAAACCTTTTTTGTGTAATATCAGGGCTGATCCCTAAACTAGATGCCCCAACTGGTGTATGGATGGCCACCACCTTGGTGCGAGGTTGTTCATCTCGGAAAAGCACCACCCTGACAGGATGTTTGCCAAATGGAGACGATTCTAGTTTGGCCATTCCAATTCTTAAAAGCACAACAGTTGGCCCAAAGGAGAGATACCCAATTCCTTCTACAAGTTGGGCCTTGGAAACTGGGTCTGAGCTTCTTTTCCATTTCCTGCATGATGCTACTGTGGTGTGATGTTCCCGTTTATCTGGACTTAGAGACAACGATCTAGTTCTCTTGGCTCAGTAGTAAGGAAATGCAAGAAAATTAGAAATAAGGAATAGAGGATATGGTGAGAATGAGAAGGTAAAATGGCTTCGACAAAATTATCAGCACTAAAACATCTACGTGCGGGACTAATAATCGAACGTGTGTACATGGCTCTCTCATGCGGGAGTCACGGACCTACTGTAGGCTTCTAATGGAAAACCTTTTAAGGAAAATAAAAGCACTACTGGGCATTTCCATCTCATTCTAAAGCTTAGCTCAATGTTGTCTATGTGGCCTTCTGGAGTGAGATTTAATTATTCGCCGTTTTTCTCTCCTATTACAAGCTTACTAGCTACTGTTGGAAGAGAAAGGTGAGTGGACAGACTCACATAGCTATGCGTAGGGATAAAAGACAAGAGATAATCTCTCTTAAGTAGAGATAAAACATATGGCAAACCGTATCTGGGAACTGAAGTTTAGCTTTTATGGTTCTTCTTGTCTATACCCTTTCCTACTTCCATAGATCCTGACCATAATAATTAGAATTCAGGGGGAGAGGAAGGAACATGAAGAATCTTGCAAACATATTACTAGAAGCACATTCACGTTGGTGTGGACAATGGGAATGACCTGGTTCCTCGCCTCCTCTGCCCCGCATTCTCCAGTCCAGCTGCAGAATCTAGTGAAAATGGTAGACTTTCGCACCCCTAGGGGCTGTATCCAAACCTAAACCAAGTCTAGATGACACAGTAAAGCCCCTTATATCTTTCAGAAGCTTCTGCAGTAGGGCCATGGGAGGGAACCAACACCTGGGAAAAGAGTCTTTATTTTACAGAAACAAAACAAAACAAAACATTGTATTGTTTCCACGTGCTTTTCCGTTGCCTCCCTGGCCACTTTCTATGCGGTGGTCAGATTCTCCTCAGGTGAACGTCGCACACGCTAGAGACCCAGCCCTGCCTTCAGGATCCCCCGCCCCGCCAACCCCGAACTTTCTACCGCTAGTGGATCATTCAGGGCCTTGGGGGTCTGCGGCAAATACCCACAAGGAACCGCGCATGCCGGTGTGTAACTCCACACCCCTCTCGTTGCTCTCCGAACAGAAATTATTGGCGGCTCCTCCAAACCACCACTTTACTTCCCTCCTCAAAATTCAGGCCAGATGCCATCATTACCAAAAGCCTCTGAAACCTGACGCTTCCACTCTTTCCCTAATTTGGGTGATTTAAGTTAAGACTCTTGGCACAGACCAATTATTTCCATGACAGCGGTTATCACGTTGTAATTAGCCCCTCCTTGGACTGTGAGCTTCCTGTGGGTGGAAGCCGTATCCACTGGGCTTAGCAAAGCATTTGGGCGCATAGTAAGTGTGCAAGAAACCTTCCAGTGAACTCTAGGAATATAGTCCATACGGCCAAGTGCACACGTCTGCAATGCACACATCAATGAATTTTCAAATGTGTGTACACAGAGGCATAAACCCATAATGACCACCCAGGTGAGCATTACAGAGCATTCCCCAGAGGCTCCCTTGAAACAATTGCTCTGGGAATGAGCCCCATCCAGCTCGTGAAAGCCGAAAGCCCGCCGGTTGCCAGTACGAAATCCAAGAGGCTTGCAGGAGCCCGAATTCATTGCAGGTAGAAGGCTCGGGGTAGGGGCAGGGGCATTTTGTTCTAGAGAAAAGTTAAGAACGGGATTAAAGGCTAGAACATTTTTTTTTTTAATGCAAATAGTGAAAAGTGAGCACAGCAATTACCCTTCTTCCCTCCCCCTCACGCTCATCCAGAAAAACGAGGGCCAGGGAGGCCCGGTGTAGGCGGGCTCAGGATTCCCTGCCATCCCCTCACGGTCGCCTTACCCACGTCCTGATGGCTGTTGGGACTCGGAGACCAGAGTGACTCAGAAGTAACCATGGTCAAGGCTTGCCAACGCTTACTCGCCACGCGCAGAGCGTCGGGTCTCCGCAGGGATCGGGCTCCTCGGCTCGCACTCACCTGCACCTCCCGCAGCCCAGCGCGCACGGGGGAGCCGCCGCCTCTGCCCGCAGGTCGGCGAGGGGAAGCGCCCTCCCCATCGCAGCGGCCTGACGCTCCTTAAATGACCCAAACGTTTTTTCCCTTCGTTTCTCAATCCAGCGTTTAGAGCATCACGTTACTCGCAGAGGACGGAAGACCTCTGCTGCGGTGGCCCAGGCGGGCCCCGAAATCCGCTGCCAGCGGGAGGGGGGCCCCCGGTCGCGGAAAGTGAAGATGCGCGGTTGACCCGGCCCGAGCCGGGGCGAGGCCATCGAGGGGGCGCGCGTTCCCCCGGACACCGCCCAGCCCCTCGGCGCCCCGCCCCTGCGCGAACTTGGCCGCACCCACTTCCCCCGGGAGGCGCCCCCGCCGCCGCCGCCGCCGCCGGGGCTGACGTCACAAGGCACCCAGCCGCCAGCGCCCCGCGGTGCGCGCCCCGCGCGAGGACCCGCCGCCCTCTCGGCGCCGACACCCAGGCGCGCCGCGCGCGTGCCCGTCTCCGCCTGCAAGCGCGGCTGAAGATGGCGAGCCCGGCGCCTCCCGAGCACGCCGCCGAGGGATGCCCGGCTCCGGCGGTCGCGGAGCAGCCGCTGCGGCCGCGGCCGCCGCCCCGGACTCCCCCGGAGGAGCAGGGCGAGGTAGCGCAGGAGGAAGGGGCGGTGGCGACCGGCGCGGGGCCGCAGGTGGAGGAGGAGGCCGCCGGCGGGGTGGCCGCCGCCGTGACCTGGCTGCTGGGGGAGCCCGTGCTGTGGCTGGGCTGCCGCGCGGATGAGCTCCTGAGCTGGAAGAGGCCGCTGCGCAGCCTACTCGGCTTCGTCGCCGCCAACCTGCTGTTCTGGTGAGAGCTCGGGGTGGGTGGGGACGCCCAGGAGGGCGGGTGACCTTGGGGCGCTCAGGAGCGGGCGGAGGGCGCGCCCCGGGCCGGGTGGGGGGGGTGCATCCTGAACCCCGCAGAGGAAGTGTCTGCCCTGCCCCACTTTCTGGGCCACCTTTCTCGAACAGGTAGACGCACACTTCAACTTTCCTCCAGAAGCACTTCCTAGTAAACAGTTGTCATCCTCCGTGTGCGTCTCCAGCGTGGCATGGGAGGTGGTCGGCTGACCCGCATGCACCTGTACATACAGGTGTGCCCAGCGTGGTTGGAAACTTCGGCTTTTGCTTTCGAAAACTCACAGGTCTTGTCCTGCTGGCCCAAATCATGTCAGTGCAAACGTGCTTGTACTTGTGTTCGCTCTTGCATCCCGAGCAGGCATCTGGACCAGCTTGGGTACATGCTCAAGACTGCACCGCCTTCATCAGCCACCTGAGATGGGCACTGAATGATTTGTTTTTCCATTCCCTGGAGGGCTGGGTTTATAGTCTTTACTCCCTAATGAGAAAACAGGAGGCAAACAGGTGGATAGTGTACATGGCCCCGCTGCCCCGCCTCCCCTCCCCCAGGTGTGTGCACGGTGTTGTAAACAGTCACACTTTCAGGTGAAGTACAAAATAGAATCTACAGGAATGTTCTCTGAGAAGCCCCTGATCAACAGGTTTGTCTCTCCAAAACGCGGCCTTCACCAGTAAGGGCAGGGAAGGTGTCTGGCTCCTTCACCGAAGGTCGTGTGCCCTGTCTTCTGTTGGAGGGTGGAGAAAAGCCTTCTTTGTTTGCAACTGTGTCCTGGTAATAAGCAAGATCGGCACAGTGCAGAATAAGAGATACCTTTTTACAGGACATAGATTTATTAACCTTAAAGTTAGGAAGTAAGAAAGTAAGAAAGTTCACAAAACATACCCAGATTGCCATTTTCTAGGCTACCTGGAGCAACTTGAAAATTCTTCTGCTTTTTTTGTCGTGATTTCTCTTCAAGGGAGCTGTATCTTATCAGGGTCACTGAATGTAAATTTATTTTGGATATTTTAGCTGTACTTGTTTCTCGTGTTTATTCCAAATTTCTTTATCCTGTTCTGAAGTTACATGAGCCCTCAAATAAGGAGGATATACTGCATTGTGCTACATCCAGCCACGGTCCAATAATCTTAGGACTGTGTTTCCCTCATTTTACTGATGAGGGGCATGTTTTTAAGATTCTCTTAATTTTAAATTGTATTTATTTACTTAAAAAACAGTTAATAGCCTCAGAGTTCAAACATTTAAAAGTAAAAAAAAAAAAAAAAAACACATTTCAGAGATCTACCTCCCATGCCTGTCTCTGGCCACCCAGTTTTCTCCCAGAGGCAACCAATTGTACCAGTTTCCTCTGTATCATTCCAAACTGTGCATATTTTTAAAAATAGGGAATATTCTGTACAAACTGTGGGATACTATTTGAGCTATTCCTCTTTTTGTATGTTTTGGCAATCACTTATTTTTCAACTGCATAGAATTCTATCATAAAGATGTCACAAATTATTTAACCTTTTTCCTACTGATGGATTAAGATAATTTCCAAATTTCTGCTATTTCAGTGTTCTAGCTGATGGCCTTGGACATGCATTATTTTGCATATATGAAAGCATGTCTATAGGATAGGTTCCCAGAAGTGGAATTATTGGCTCCAAAAGAATGTGTATTTTTTTTTTTTTAAGATTTATTTATTTGAGAGAGAGATGGAGCTCATGTGAGCAGGGGGAGGGGCAGAGGAAGAGGGAGAGAAAGAATCCCCAAGCAGTCTCCCCACTGAGCAGGGAGCCTTCATCCTGAGCTCAATCCCAAGACCCTGAGATCATGACCTGAGCTGAAATCAAGAGTTGGATGCTTAACCGACTGAGCCACGGTGTATCCCTGTACACATGTAATTTTGATGAATATCATTATAGAATTTCCGTGGAGTTCTATAAGTTTATACTCCAGCCAGAGCCCGCAATGTGTGTGACTGCCTGTTTCTCTATACCCTTGCCAACAGTGTTTTACCGAACTTTCTGATCTTGCATGTCAGGTAGGTGAAAAAAGGCATCCCACTTTGGTTTTAATTTGCATTTCTCTAGGTTTGGGCATTTTTTCTTATGTTCAAGAACCATTATAATTATCTTGTCTTTGCATTATCTGTTTATAAATAACTTTGTCCATATTTTTAGTTGTGCCAATGGGCTTTTTTCCTGTTGATTTGTAGGAACTCTATATTAACAATGTTAGCCTAATTTCTATAATGTAAATTATAAATCATTTTTCTATGATGCATATTAAATAGCATCAATTAAAAAGAATTATTTTTGCATAAAGTCATTGAAAGGCATATTTGGTATTATTTTGGACTGATGTCTTCCATCCATTTTATAAAACTGTTTTCTTTTTATTTTAAGTAAGCTCTGTTCCCAATGTAGGGCTTGAACTCATGACCCCTGAGATCAAGAGTCACACGCTCTACTGACTGAGCCAGGAAGGCACCCCATCCTTTTTTTTTTTTAGTCTGATGGAGAGGCAAACAATGGTCAGGCATTCTGTCCAGTTATAGCTTTCTGCTTGTCTGTTTTATTTCTTCTCCTCTTTGCAGTATCTATATTCCATGCGTGTATTTCCTTTGACAGAAAGATGAGCCCCAGTTTTAAAATTCTGAAATACTTATTATAATTTCTGATCTATTTATTAATTTTATTAAAATGTTGATGTTCTATCTCCTTCTCTTGCTTTTGGGGTTAAAATGATTTTCAAGGTCATCATTTTCTTTAAATAGTGTGCTTCTTATCAAGTGATCTTAAATTATGTGACACTCTAGCAGTCCATGTCCTAGGGACTCTAAAACTCTGTATTTTTTATGAGAAAAAAAGATCACTGTCAGAAATCTTGTCTTAGACAAAAATGATTTTTTTTCTTTAATTGGCATTATTGCATTTTTGTGGAAATTAATTTTCTAAACCTGTTTTGAATGATTTAGTACCTGATCCTTGCAGTAGCTTTCAAGTTTTGAGTTGGGGTTCAAAAGCTCTAACATTTTCCAGCTGTCCTTTATCTGCAAGATTTTAGGGCCACGCACTAGAAGCCCCAAACCTGAGACGCGGCCATAACAAATGGGATAACACCTGCATGAAGCAAGTGTGGTGGAAGAAACAGAGAAAGCATCATTCGATGATGGAGTTTTGGGGGAGTGACAACATAGTGGCTGGAAGAGATTGTGGGGGTCTTCCTGAGATAAACGTGACTGAACAAGACCTGGAGGGACAGGAATGATTTGGGTAGATTTCATATAAGGTCAACAGCATTCTAGCCCTAAGACAGTGTTCTTATATTTTGACTGATATACTGAACAGGTGCAATTAGGTGATGGTTGGTAGAGAAAAGTGGGGAGGTGAGACTGGCTAGGTATTTTGGACACATCTTTGGGGGCAGTGTGGTCATCTTGAATGTCAGACCGTGTGTTTGGATTTGTTCTTTCAATAGGCAATGGGAACAAAAAAAATGTCAGTGTCCATGAATCTTTTAACGGATAACTAAATTATAATACATGCATTCCTACCTTAAAATACTATATCACAGTAAGGGCACCTGGGTGGCTCAGTCAGTTGAGTGTCTGCCTTTGGCTCAGGTCACAATTTCTCGGGGTCCTGGGATTGAGTCGCTCATGTGGCTGCTCAGTGAGGAGCCTGCTTCTCTCTGTCTCTCTCCCTCTGCCCATCCCCTGGCTCGTGCTGTCTCTCCCTCTATCTCTCTCAAATAAATAAAATCTTTTTAAAAATACGATATCACAGTGAAAATAAACAGCTATAGGCAACAATGAATTTTACAAATGTAGATGAATTTTACAAACATAACTTTGGGCAAAAGAAGCACACAGTATGTGTAGAATTATCCAGTTTTTTAAAAAGTTTTCACATGCATTAAACTAAAGAGTATTGATCAGGGCTATACACATAGGAGATTAGAAACAGTCTTTTCTTTCTCTCTTCTTTTTTCTTTTTTTTTTTAAGAGAGGACAAAGGTGGGGAGAGGGGTAGAGGGAGAAGGAGAGAGAGAATCCTAAGCAAGCTGCATGTTCAGTATATAGCCCCACATGCACCTCAGTCCCAAGACCCTGAGATCATGACCTGAGCTGAAATCAAGAGTTGGACCCTTAACCAACTGAGCCACCTAAGTGCCCCTAGAAAGACCTTCTTATCCCTAAAGTTGAGGACGTATTTATCTCTGGGAGGAGTGAGAAGGTATGACCACAGAGAGGCACATAGAAAGTTCTGGGGTGTAGGCAGTGTTCTATTTTTTGGCTCTGGTGGTAGTTACATGACATTCAAGTTCTGATTATTTTAAAACTCTGTGTGTGTGTGTTCTTATCTATGATATATTTTATGAAAAATGCTGGAATACTAAATAATACTTAAAAAAATGGACTCATAGGTCCAAGGAGTTTGATAAAACACAGACCACAGATAGTGCCTGTCTCAAGAAGCAGGATTTCTACAACCTGAAATAGATTGAGGAATGACCCAACAGTCTTAGGACTGTGTCTTTCTCCTCTTACCAACAAAGAACATGGTTTTTAAAATTCTTTTTCTTATTTTTAAATTTTGCTTATTTTAAGAAATTGCTAATACCGCCTCACAGTTCAAAAGTTTAAAAGTACAAAAGGGTAAACATCTTGAAGAACTCTTTCCCACGCCTGTCCCTGGCTGCCCCGTTTCCTCTCAGAGGCAATCAGGGACACCACTTTTAAGCACAACATAAAATAGGATGGACCCAATGAAGCAGAAAACACTATTTTTGTTTTTAAGGGATTAACTTGGCGTATACTGTCAACAAAATGCACACACTTCACATGTACTGCCAGATGTACAGGCTCGTGTAACCATACAACAGTCAAGATCTAGAACATTCCCATCACTCCTAAAGATTTCTTCAAGTCCCTTCCCTGTCAGTCCCCACCCCTGGGG